ATTTTTTCTTATTGAAATCGGTATAAAAAACGTCAGGTCGGTATTTAAAAAAAAAGGTTGATGTCAAAAACCAAACTTCGTACCCAAAAGTAAATTATCATATTCTAGAGGAGAAAAGTGCTTTTAGTTTTTTAATATCTCTACAAACAACCCTATAAAATAAAAAGGAAGGAAACTGTATATTTTTACATTTCTCAAAATTACCCAAAAACTATCAAAAATTTAAAAATTATTAAACTACGAACCTGTTTGTGTAAAACCCTATAACTCTTATAATAATGGTACAACAGGAATGCAGTTGACACACGGAAAAAAATGTGACTAGAAAATTTTACTACAATGTTGTAGTAGTAGACTTGTAGAAAAATACTTAACAATTTGTAGAAAATTTTACTACAATTTATAGTTAAAAACTATTCATTATTGTAGCAATTGAATTGTCGAATAAAATGCTACAACAATAGGAAAGAATTCCACAATGTTTAGTATATTTTACTATTGTTTGTAGAAGTAGAAATTTATTACAATTATCGTAATTACTACTACTAACTTCTAAAAAAATTTGTACAAATATTAATAATTATCTCTACAAAAAATAGTAATTTTCTCTACAAAAAATAATAATAATTTACATTCCTTCTTATGAAAAATATTCAATTTTGTTCAAAAATATTCTATAATATTGTAGAAATTCTAAGTCATGTGAACAAAACAGAATTCTGCTATTGGCCAACGTTTTCTGACGTCGATCATAAATGGCCAGACAGCAATAGCCGTTCGCGATGTTCACATAACAAAGCATGGTACATATACGAGTACCTATAACACATTATTATATTATAAGCACCGATGCGTTTGAGAAAATTTTAATAATAAATTCTATTGGTGGTAAGTACATTTATTGTTTTTGAATAATTTACCTTTAGATAACTAATTTAAATAACCTTAGTAGATTATTTTAAAAAAAATAGTTGTGGCCAACGATCGAATGTTGTGCCCAAGATCGAATTTTGTGCCAAATTCAATGATTTTTTTTGTCTTATTTGTGACATACCTACTTTCTCATTTTTGTTAGTTATCTGACTTAGTCATTTAATATCCAAATCAGTGTAAAGGTGATAAATATCCCTGTTTTAAGGGTATGAACAGTTCAATTGTTATTAATTTTTATTTCATATTTTTCAGGTGCAGAAAAGCCAACTGAGACTGAGGGTGCTATTATTACTGTTATTTATTACATAATGTAATTAAGACTTTGTATCTTTCATATTAAAACAATAAATTGAATATTTTATTAAGGAACATTTTTTTCTAGGTTATAATTATAATAATTATGGAATACTACTACAAGTTTTATTAAAAATTACTACAATTTGTATGAATTTTTACTATTTATTGTGTAAAATTTTCGTATTTATTTTCATAATACGCAATACATTTTTAATATAAATTCATACAATGAATAGCAAAAATTATAACAATTTGTAGAACAATTCTTATGATGCATTTGGATATTTTTACTAAATATTGTAGATAATAACTCTACAATACATTCTCCACAAATATTTGGAAATTTTTACTACAAATTGTCCCTGTCCCTATATGTACTATTTATTGTAGAGAAAAAATCTATAATTGTAGAAATTTCTTCTACAATTTTTTTTCCGTGCAGATGTTAAAAAAAAAAACCAAATGGTAATAATTTTAAGACATATTTGATGATCAATTCTGTTTCAAACTATTCCTGTGTAGTTTAATTTCGTCTTAAATAACCAAGACCTTGATATTCCTAAACGAATAAATATTTACAAAGAAAATAAAATCCATTAAACAAACCGCTCCTACTATTTCAAATTTGGCGTGGTCAGTTTTATTTGATTTTTAAACAGGAAATAAACAAATAGCTTAGACATATTTTCGACAAGTTTAAATTTAGCACCAAATCGATCCGCATCGCAGGGCTATCGAATTAACGATTAGAATTTTTTCGAATTATTTAAATAACCTTCGATATCAGATTCAAAAATAATTTTTTTACGATAACGGTCGCGAAATCATGCTGTCGGATATTCTGATATATATTTTTTTCTAGGCCTGCATTATTGTAGTACGTGAGATAATTTTTATTTTGATATATTTTAAAAATAGATTTTTATAGTCTGGAATTAAAACTAGCCGATATGATAGTTAATATGAAACGCATTTCAATGAAACAAAATAAAAAAAAAATGTTTAAAAATATCTGTTTCTAGGCGATGCGAATAGAAATAATTTTATTGTTTTGGCAAAAGTGAAAATTTAAGTGGGTTTACGAAAATAGAGTAATAGTTTTCGAGAAATAATTTTTATTTCAAAATATTTAATAATGACCTAGATTATTTCATTTAAACATTGTAGCTGTTGTGCATTTTATATCTGACAATTTCTCCATAAATTAGATGATTCATTAAGTAAATTTCCAGTGGCATAATTAGTGAGCCATAAGGGACACTTCCCCCGGGCGGAGGTAATTTGCCCACAAAATATTTAAAGCTGCTAATCCTATAGGTAATTTGCCCACAGCAAGTAAAAGGTCATCTTAATCCTGTTGGTATTTTGCCCAAATTTATTTCTAACTGAATAAATCATAATAGATATATCTTTCATTTATTATTTTTTATATATTATCGAAAAGTAAAAACACATTATTAATTAAACTAAAAATTATATTAAACACTAATTTTTATTATTATAAAAAAGTAAGTATACATAAGTTATATTATATTTTTTATATATTTATATTTTATTTACATATTTTTCAACTGGGAGGGATAAATGTGATACAAATTTTATATACTCTAATCTGCTGATTTGCTGCAGATCAAATCGCTGTATAAATTTTTCTAAACACTGAATTTTTTGTTTTACACTTTTGTCTTTGATTTTCTTAGGTATACTTAAACTTTGTATTGTGACATACGTGTCGATTTGAAAGTCTTTAAGCTTTTCTATAAAAATATATACAGAAGGATGTGTACAGTAGAATGAAGAATTAAACCTTGAATGAAACGACTCACAGGCATTTGTAGTTCTTGTAATTGAAGCTGTTTTTTCTGTCCATATACTTGGAGGAAATGTAGAATTTTCTTCAATATATGTTTCTAATAGGTAATCGGCATACCTATCGAGAACGGCATTTTCTGGTTTACTTGCCATTAAGTCAAACACAAAACAGTCTCCAACTTCATCGGCGTTTAAATATGTCAACCCAAAAGATGTTTTAAGCCATTTTCCGGTATCACTGTTAGTTGTATATTCAGTCATTAATCCCAGAGACTGAATTTTACGATACCACGCTTGATGTAGATGAAATCGGCAGCCATTGATTACAGTATTAGGCCACATATAAATTAACGCCTTATGAATTGCTATTTCAAAATCAACGAACACTTTAGATGGATTTAAAGCAATACTGTAAGTTTCCAAAATTTTATAATGCAATAACGAAAACAAATGTTTGTATATATCGGTAGATTTGTTTGGTAATAAACAATATACCAGGGGCACATAGTGTCCATTAGACAGCCCATGAATGGTAAATAATTGTAGGAAAAACTTTGTACAATACGAAAATGTTCCATCCATATACAAGACGTTCATTTTACACAAAGTACGAATATTTGTCTCACATGTAAATACAATAATATTATTTTCTCTGCTATTTATTAAAAGAAAATGTTCACCTTTACTGGTTTTAAATGTATTAGAATATAAGTCAACTGCATCATGCACTTCTTGTATATTTGTAGGTAATGGACCTGGTAGTATTTTGCGACGACTGTTGTATATAGTTTTTCTTATGTGGGACACATCAATTGTAGTTAGTGACTCTGGTAAATTAGTAGCAAGTACTTTACGGGTAATTTTAGAAGGTTTTTCCGAAATATCATCAATTGCTTTTCGCTTACACGAATTAGAAATAATTTTCCTGTTTAATTTCGGTTCATTTGCTTCATGGCTATGAATTAGGTTGCCTCTGGATACTAAAAGTTCAGGACCAATTGTAAATACAGTGGCATTACAAGCATTTGTTTTTCTTTGGGAGCATCTCCAAGAAACTTCTCCACTTTTCATTTCTCTATCTTTGGCAAACGTAAAATTCTCCAAAAGGAGTACATCTTTCCCGCGTGTGCTTTTAATCAATGTAGCTGACATTATAGAAATAATTATTGTTTATAAACACTCGAATTACAATCATGAACGTATAAAAACTGACTGAAATATAAACAGTAAACACCCAAAGTAAGTACCTATTAGAATTATTAATAATCAGGTAGGTACCTATTTGTGGGCGGATGTAATTTGCGGGTTTAGGTACCTGAATGCTACTGTGGGCAAAATACCAGTAAGATTAACGCACCCCTTTACTTACACAGGTATAAAACAGAGATTTGTGGGCAAAAAGGACCCGCCGCTTCCCCCCCCCTCTTATAATATCGAAATTTGTCACAGAATGTTTAAATAATAAAAACGAAATACAGAAAAGAAAGAAATAAGAGAAGTAGTGTTTCAAATATCTAGCATAGTATCGCGTATAAATTTAATTAAAATAATATATCGAGGATATGGTTATCGGTGCTTGTCAGAAAGGATGTCAAATTTACTGATAGAGGAAAATTGAGAAAAATTAAAAATTTATATAGCCCAGATGTTTGTAATGCATAATTTTGACATTCAAAGAAAAGGTGATTGGCGTCTCCAACCGACGTCTTATTTATTGCAAGTCAACTGGGAGAGTGTATGATTTTTATTTTATGTAGATGGACAGGAAACCGTCCATGATTTAATTTGAGTCGTGGTAGAATAGCAGTATATTTTTGGGGAAAATCAAAATTGTTGAGATGAGGAATATTATTAGGAAGTTGCCAATGAAGTTGAAAATAATGACTATTTGAATTTTTAGAAACATTATGGTATTAGCTTATCCATCTGTTTCTTAAATATTTTCTGTTTTATTTCAGAGTACTCCCTGTAAACACCCTGTGATAGTTCTCCAAGATGTCGCCTGGACGGATCTTCACGCCTTGGTGGAGTTCATCTACCACGGCGAAGTTAACGTGCATCAGCGCTCCCTATCGTCATTCCTCAAAACGGCCGAAGTTCTCAGGGTTAGCGGTCTCACGCAACAACACGGTGACGGCCGAGATCAGGTAAATCTCCTTCTTCTCTATTTAGTTATCAACCTCTTCACTTCTATCCTTACACCTTTTCCTTCATATATTCATTAAAATAATTTCTTGCATGAAATAAATGGTTTTGTATACACTCAAGTCAGCCAACTACATAGCGTTGACCATAAAAGGCTATACAAACAAGTAAAAAAGGATAAAACTCCAGGAATAGCTAGTGATATAGCTGTAACCACACACCCATTTGAAAGAACTTTTCAAATACAAATACCAGTTCAAGAATCTTGGAAATAAGGCCCTCTCATACAGTTTGAACTGGTCTGGTATACAGAAGAAGCTGGTGCTGGAATCTTGGAACCCAAGTTGAAAACAATTGAGTCTAATAAAATATGCAACAGCGTTATAGGCCAAAATAATAGACATACACTGTGCAAGAGAAATAATAAATCCTTAAATAACAAACAAAGCCATTGTTATCTACTTTGACAGCTATGCAACTCTAAAGATTACCTAGAAGATCTGGCAGAGCTAAGCAGTCAAAACAAAGTGTCAACTTGGGTACCAGGCTATAAAGAACATTAGGCAAATGAAAGGCTGAAGAACTAGTCCAAGAAGGCTAAGATAAGGCCCCGAACTCTTGTATGGACTTGCCAAGGCATTGGGCAAAGCATATATCAAACAATTGATGCAAAGTAAAGGCTTGTTTTGTGAAAGACCTTTGATACGCTTCCTCGCTCTGATCTCTCAATCAGAATGAGCAATTCTGTCATTAGAAGTACACCACATTATTTACTTAGAAACTATTTAATCAACAGAACCCAAATACTTAAAAATATGGAATTTATTAAATGCCGATTCAATAGTACTACCAGGGGACAGAATCTCCAACATAAACCATAATGGTTTAATATTAATTTCTCATTAAATTCCACGGTAATCTATATATTTTATTGTAAAAAACAAAACCTAAATATTTCAAAAACCTTATTTTTAGTTTTTTTCTACTCCATCTAATCAACAAATAATAGTAAAATTAATTATAATTCGAAAATTGTTGTTGAAGTCTTACTTTCTCGTAAGACACTGTACACACACACATTTTAAAAAAAAAATCTCAAAAATTTGCAGGGTAAGGTATAGTTAAAAGTTCACTATTAGATTAATAAGGACTTCTACTATTAGAAAAAAATTAATTTTAGTCATAATCTAATATTTTTTATTTAACATTGGTGGCGAAAGGACCTCCTTAGCACTGATGATGCTCCGCGTTCTGGCAGGCCAAAAACGGCATCTTCTGAAGAAATGGTGCAAACCGTTCACAAACTAATTCTAAAAGATCGCAGATTAAAATTGGAAGAGGTAGCTGAGGCTGTGGGCATATCAAAAGAGCGAGTTTACTATATTTTGTGTGAAGTTTTAGGTATGAGAAAGCTATCCGCCCGATGGGTGCCGCATTTGCTCACGTTAGATCAGAAGCTCACGCGGCTAACCATTTCAGAGGAGAATTTGGCACTGTTTAGCCGTGATCCAGGGGACTTTTTGTGGAGATTTATTATGGTTGATGAAACATGGATCATTATACCCCTGAAACAAAACAACAGTCCAAACGTGGACGGCAAAGGACGAACCAGTTCCAAAGAAGGCAAAGGCAGTACCGTCTGCTGGAAAGGTCATGGCAACGGTCTTTTGGGATGCTAAAGGGATACTCCTAATAGATTATCTCGAAAAGGGAAAAACAATAAATTTCGAGTATTACAGCGACTTACTGGACCAGCTTAAGCAGAATATAAGCGAATATAAGCAAAAAAGAAAATTCTGTTTCATCAGGACAATGCACGTTGCCACAAGTCCATTCTTGTAATGGCTAAAATTCATCAGCTAGTCTTTGAACTGTTAAACCATCCTCCGTATTCGCCAGACCTAGCCCCGTCAGACTTATTTGTTTCCAAACCTAAAAAAATGCCCTGCCTCTAGACCATCATGGCATTGAGAGTCGAGATTCCTAGATAACAGTTTGATGTGCTAATTCGGGCCAAGCGCCGTTACAGGCTTGTTCTTAAATCTTCAAATACCTCTATACAGCATCGGTGTATATGAGAAATGCATTGATGCATACTGAGTCCATATCTTCGTCTGCGTGAGTTAAGTTTTCAATGTACGTTAACTCAAAAGAAAAATATTTTACAGAGAAATGTTAGAGAAAATGGAAAAATTGCTATATGTGCGAAAATAAAATGAAAATAGTATCTAGTTTGAATTTGTAAGGAACTTATGCCAATATTAGCATTTTCGTTCAAACGAATTCTTGTAAAATACCTTCTATTATATATATTTGAATTTCTGCTTATGCCTACAGTTCCAGACTTATAACCCATATTTTTAGACGAAGAAAATAATTATATTTCCACATTTCGTCCATACATTCAAATCTCTTAAAGGATTTCATAACATTTAGTGTCAATTTTTACTTTGATGTATCCAATAAGCAAAGTAAAGAAATCATGATTTTTTAGACTTCGAGATTTCGACCGATCTTTACGTTTTGGGGTCCCCTGAATCCGTTTTGCCTATTTTCGCGATGATGTCTGTCTATATCCAAGACAGCTCAAAAACGAATAAAGGAAAAAACGTCTAACTTTAAACTTAGGGTTTAATCCATTTTAGTGTAAATTGATTAGATTTTGGGCATAGTAGAAGCATCTGGAGGATACTTTATAGGGTATAATTTTTCTAATGTATGCCATATTTCTGTTAATTATGATTGTACAAGAAAATTCTTTAAACAAGCGTTGTTTGTAATGCCATACTCTATAATTTTTTTACATGATTTCTCTAAACCTGACCTTAATAGAAAAATTAAAACAAAATTGTTTTGAATAATTTTTATTACGATTAAAAAAGTAGATATTATTATTATTATTTTTCTCTCTAATTTCAGTTGGCACAAGTACAAAGTATGGTCAGATCACAACAGCAACAATCCACCCCATTATCGAACCATCATCCAACGTTCACAGACAAGCTAGTAGAAGATAGTTTATTCACCTCCCCATCCTCCCCGCCTCACGGCGCTACTGTAAATCAATTATTAAGGCGAGCAGCGGCGTTACAATACAGGTAAGATTCACTTTTTATTTCTCAAAGGCTAGGTATATTAGATATTAAAAAACAAGGGTGATCTGAAATTGAAATGAAAGGCTACATTGTAAAAAAAAATCATCCAAGATTATATTAATAGGTACAATAATTTCTCTAATAAATGTGAACAAATATATTGTTACATTGGGTGTTACACAATATTTGTGACCTACACATTTTCCCTTATGTTTATTGTGAATCCTACTTTGTGCTTTATCCTTATTAGGATAATAACATCCAGGCATATTTCCTTTATAAATATAAAACGTTTATCCTTTAATATCAATTTAAATTTTTTTACTAAATATATTTCTTACATTTTGCAAAATCTATCAATATGACTCTTGTTAGTGTTAAAGACATTTAATGGTACCAACTCTATTTTTTTAATTTTCAATGACAGTATTAAACAATTCGTGGGCGGAAAATTGTCACTTTACTCCCTTGTAATGTAAATAGCTATTTAATTTCAATTTTATTTTGTTTTGTTTGTGTAGGCGAGAAAGGAGGATATCATCAGACCCAGAAAACGAACATAAAAGAGCAAGAGCTGACCACATTATCAGCAATAACAACAACAACAATAACAATAATGAGTTGAATTTGTCGACGTCGCATCCTCACCCCCCGCCCCAAACGCAGCCAGCGGATTTTTCTCCAAGCGCCATGAAGAATAACGTGCTCAATTTGAATTTAAATTCGATAAAAAACGACATAGAAGGTAAAAAAAAAACGTTTATCAAATTTATGATTCTTATATTTTTGTTTTATAACTCTGACGCTAGGTTGCACAATCGTACGATAACCATTATTGTTCTGTTAAATTAAGTTCCACAGATATGCAAACTCAATGAATATCTCTACAAGAAATTAACAATCTAAACAAACATCGACTAGCTTTCTTACTTAAGAACACTTCCTTTTATTCACAAAGTGTTCTTAAATGTATGCAAAAAAATTCAAAAGGTCATATATCGTTGGCAATTTAGGGGAGTATTGGCTATTTAACACTTTAACTGCCATGCGCGTCAAAACGACGCACACAAACAAAAAAATGCGAAATCGTGAGGATTTGGCAAAATAAACGAATATTTTGTATATTACTTGCCTCTATACAACAAAATACATTGATTTAAAAAAAAATTGGCGGTATCGAAACTTAACTTAATTTGCCTTGGCAGTTAAAGTGTTAAAAACCTTCAAACCACCCCCTTATGAGATATTACAACAGTCGCACAATTGATTAAAATAGAATTTTTAACTTTTTCTCGTATTCTTATTTTTCTTCAAATTCTCTAAGATTTTTGTTATAAGAATTCCTCAGCCCTTCTCCTTATGAGACACCACAACAGACTCACAAGTGATTAAAATTGAATTTTTGATGTCTAGTGTTATAATTCTTCTCTATACTCTCTTAGATATTTTGCTATAAGAAATCCTCAGCCCTCATCCTTATGTAACATCACAACAGACTTGAAAGTGATTAAAATTGAGTTTTTAACGCCTTTTTTCGTATGCCAATTTTTCTCCAATCTCTCTTAGATATTTCCTATAAAAGAATCCTCAGCCCTTCCCCTTAGGAGACATCACAACAGACTCATGAGTGATTAAAATTGAGTTTCTGTTTTCTTCTTGTTCTAATTTTTCCAAACTCTGTTATATCTTTGCTATAATAAAATCTTCAGCCGTCTCCCTTATGAGACATCACAACAGACTCACAAGTGAATAAAATTGAGTTTTTAATGTTTTTCCCATGTTCTAATTTTTCTCGAAACTCTTGCGTATCTTTGTCATAAAAAAATCATCCTTCCATCTTCTTATGAGAAAACAACAGGCTCTTAAGTGATAATAATGAAGTTTTTAACTTTTCTCTTGTTCTAATTTTTTATTTACCAAGTTCTCGGAGTTATTTGCTGTAAAAAAATCCTCAGTACATCCCCTTATAAGATATCACAAAAGAAGGACAAGTGACTAAATTTTAGTTTTTAATTTTGTCCTCGTATTCTAACTCTCTTATTATATCATCGACAATTTTTAATTAGTCGCCCATTGTTTTTATTCGTCTACTCTCTTCAGCACTCTTTGGAATCATATTGCTCTCTTTCTTCCTTTTCCTTCTGTGACTTTCAGTAGCTTATTTTAAGCTCTGATAATTCACTATTTACTCTTCTTCTCTTTAGTTTGTTATCAATTTTGACAACCCCAAAGTATTTTCTTCATATTTTCGTTCCTATAGTTATATCCCTCCTGTATAGTTAACAATTAATGATGTTTTACATTGAATGTCACTTATTCCATTCGATTTGAACCAATAATAATGAAGATATACGTTAATACTCTTTTGAAAATGCTACTGCACATGCTGTTTATTAAATACAACATCTATGTCTCCTTTTTGTTGGTAGTCCTACATTATTTCATCGTCTTGAAAGAACTCGATGCTCCTACGATACTTCTTCGACTGTTTAGAAGATTTTTTAACGTGTTTTCCAACCAAAGAAGGTCCTACGTCATCCCTTCAGCTCATTTTCTTAGTCTTCGAGTTTTTAAAGGCTTCTTTAACATCTCCCTACCGAAGAACCCGGTGAACATGACAACTTGATGGACATGTTAACAAAGTGGTCTGATACCCCTTCTATCGTATCTACTATAATATGGTCTGAAAATTCTTTTCTTCTTCATCGGCTCTACTTATTTATCTTATCAACTGATTTGTGCACCTAACAATCTAACTTATTTTTTTATGTAATAATTATAGGCATGCTTTAATTTTCTTTATTTTAAAAACGTCAATTTTAGAAAGAAAATATTTGTTCGCTACAGGGAATGGAATCAGCAGCACGGATCGAGAAGCCTCCCCCTGTTCGCCGTCGCCCACGCTCCATTCCCGATGCAACAACAACGATAACAACGACAACAACAACATTAAAAACGAGCCCATGGAATTACTGTGCTCTACCAATCAGGAAGACAACAGCAACGACTCCGCCGACATGACCAACGATAACGGCGGCGGGCCGGGACAGGGGGGGCCACTTTCGGGGGGCAGGTAAGAAATTTTAACTGTTTAAACGTATTTAGAGCGCCATATTAGTTGATTCTAAGACAGACGCTTGGATACGAAGTCACGAATTTTTTCCCAGATCTAGGGAAAGTTATAGAGTAGATCTGGCAACACAACAATGGTAAGTACGTTCGTTAATAACCCTTTTTTTACCCGTTATCTGTCGAAGGGATCTGTCTATCTGGACGGACTACTAGAGAAACAATGTTGTCATTTAATGAAAAATGTTTGGGTAATTAACAGACGTACTTGCCATTGAATCTTGCGATGCGGTGTTGCTAAATCTACTCTCCAAATTTCTCCAGATCTGGGGAAAAATCCGTGAATTAGTACTCAAGTGCTCATATTAGTTAATTGTCTTAGAAATGTAGGTAATTATGAAAATATTTGTTTTTGTTTTTAGTTCGGGGGGCGGCGGGGACCACGACGACCACGATAGCGCCATCAGCCCTTACCTGACGCCCACGGAAAGCAAGTTGTTCGCGACGGCGGCGGGAAGCTTTAATTTTAGTATGGCCGCATTAGCCGGTGATCCGTCAGTTCTTGGAGGTAAGCAACACTGAATAAGTCCAGTAAAGTATTTGGGTTTACAGATAAATCACTTAAAAGGGACACTTATCAAGATTACAAAAATCATCAAAAATAAAGGAAAAAATTAAATTCTAATACCTCACATGTATTCATTTTGATGTACCTATATTCAATGCCTAGATAGTAGGATTGGGCATTTATCGAAATAAAATATCGATTAATCTAATTTAATCGAAAATAGTTAAAAATAATCGAAAATAATCGAAAATAATCGAAAATAATCAAAAATAATCGAAAATAAATAATCGAAAATAATCGAAAATAATCGAAAATAATCGAAAATAATCGAAAATAATCGAAAATAATCGAAAATAATCGAAAATAATCGAAAATAGTCGAAAATAATCGAAAATAATCGAAAATAATCGAAAATAATCGAAAATAATCGAAAATAATCGAAAATAATCGAAAATAATCGAAAATAATCGAAAATAATCGAAAATAATCGAAAATAATCGAAAATAATCGAAAATAATCGAAAATAATTGAAAATAATTGAAAATAATTGAAAATAATTGAAAATAATTGAAAATAATTGAAAATAATTGAAAATAATTGAAAATAATTGAAAATAATTGAAAATAATTGAAAATAATTGAAAATAATTGAAAATAATTGAAAATAATTGAAAATAATTGAAAATAATTGAAAATAATTGAAAATAATTGAAAATAATTGAAAATAATTGAAAATAATTGAAAATAATTGAAAATAATTGAAAATAATTGAAAATAATTGAAAATAATTGAAAATAATTGAAAATAATTGAAAATAATTGAAAATAATTGAAAATAATTGAAAATAATTGAAAATAATTGAAAATAATTGAAAATAATTGAAAATAATTGAAAATAATTGAAAATAATTGAAAATAATTGAAAATAATTGAAAATAATTGAAAATAATTGAAAATAATTGAAAATAATTGAAAATAATTGAAAATAATTGAAAATAATTGAAAATAATTGAAAATAATCGAAAATAATCGAAAAAATTTGAAATTAATCGAAAATAATCGAAAATTATCGAAAATAAGCGAAAATACTCAAAAATAATCGAAAATATTTGAAAATAATCGAAAATAATCGAAAATAATCGAAAATAATCGAAAATAATCGAAAATAATCGAAAATAATCGAAAATAATCGAAAATAATCGAAAATAATCGAAAATAATCGAAAATAATCGAAAATAATCGAAAATAATCGAAAATAGTCGAAAATAATCGAAAATAATCGAAAATAATCGAAAATAATCGAAAATAATCGAAAATGATCAAAAATGATCAAAAATGATGAAAAATTATCAAAAATGATCAAAAATGATCAAAAATGATCAAAAATGATCAAAAATGATCAAAAATGAACAAAAATTATCAAAAATGATAGAAAATGTTCGAAAATAATCGAAAATAATCGAAAATAATCGATTCCTCTAAATAATCGATTAAGAATTGATTAATCGAAAATAAATGATAATTGATTTTAAAAAAAATTAATCTATTATTTAGCCTATCCCCTACTAGAAAGGTATTAGCCAGAGGAGTAGTTGTTCTCAAGAGAAAAATGACCGCTTGTATTATTGTGATACATGGCTTTGAGTTTTATTTTATTCTACATATTGTTCACATTTGAATTTATTTCCTTTTTTAATAAATAAATCATTAACCGATATATTTGTTTTTTTTTTTTCAGGGTTAAATCAGTCTCTACAAGGAAACGATAGTCTGGCAGGCACTTCACAAGGTAAGTTATCAACTTCCGATATTCCATTACCTCTTTTTGTATGTAGTTGTCTTAACTGAATGTGCATTTGTTGTAGTGTGTCAGTTAAGGTGACGTGACGTATCTTTTTTTTTGTAAAAACTATTCTCTTCTAGATGTCGTCTTAAATTTGACGATATCCTAGCCGTTTTTTGTCTATTCACTTTTACTTTCAAAAGATTTTTCAATCAATTTTTGAGATTTTTTAAATTATTCATAAAAATTGTTGCAGGGTTTAAAGTTTTAGAAATGATGTCCTATTTAGAATAAATATGTTTTTAGAATAATATGAGGAATAAATAAACAATTTTTAAAAATTAAAATTAAAATTATATTTATAAATATCTTGTATTTTTATATTTTTGCAAAAATCAGTAAAATAGGTCAAAAATTTAGTTTTTGAAATACAATATGTCAAAGTTAACCTCTGAACATGGTTTTTAATTATAATTATTCCCTATTAGTTACATTATTTATTTTTGTAATAAAATTAATTTGTCATTAGATGCATCTCTGTTAAAGATGTGACATATGTCAATTTTTTTCAAATGGATATCTATAACTGTTTTCGAGTAAATTAATTTATAATCTCGTCAATGACATGTGTCATGGCATTATTGCTGTTTTGACTTTAATTTATAAGGGTTCGAAAATAATAATTAAAAACCATATTCAAAAATTCTTTGTAACTTATTAATCTATTTTGATTTTTAATGAATAGTACTTGCTATAGAAGTTAACAATTCTATTTCAGAAACACTTTATATTATTTAATAACTAATCAGCTGCCTTGTACAAGACCAATTAACAAGTTCTTCAAGGATCAGCTTTTTTTAACTCAGAATAATTGTGATATATCTTTTAGATCATTTGCACTCTAAATGAATAATTACTATTATTAATAATAATCAATAGTACAATATGAATTATAGCCTTTTAGACTTGCCAGAATGAAACATTTTTAAATGATAAATCATGGCAAATGACAGATGACAGACATTTATTGATTATGACAGATGTCAAATAATGAATATTAAAAAAATCATAGCTAAACGAATGTAATAAAACCTTTGTTTCTAAATTAGGACATCTCTAAAAATATACAAAACCCCAAACAATTTTTATGAAATAAATTTTTTTCAATAAAATTTCCTTTTGAAAGTTCGGAATGTGTTTTATACTGTGTGTTTTTGTTTATCTTGTCCCTGGTCTGTTTTGTGTTGATTTTCTTTTTCTTTTGACTCTCTTACTTGAATTTTGGGGGAGCCATCCATGAATGAGGACAAAAAAAATTTAAACTTACACTCACGTATTTTTTCGATGTTTATTCAAATGTATTTGTAAAATTAGGATTTCTAAATTTTTGTAAAAGGAAATTTTTAAATACAGGATTTAATTTTGGATAATTGGCTATATAGTATTTTTTTTATTTTTAAATTGAATATATGGAACAATAAATCATTTAAAAAACAAAATAATTTATATTAAAATTAAATTTATATTTTTTATTTTCTAAAACATTCCATATTTGTTGTCTCATATATTCAGTTTAAATCAAAATTTAACTGTTTTTAAAATAATACTGCAATAATTTAATCACTGCTTAGAACCTTCAATAACCAAAAAAATATACCAAAGTTATCTTATTTTATTTTAAAATTTAATACTAGTATTTATAAATATTTAAAACATAAAAAACATTTTAGCACCCAAATAGACCTATTTTAGTCTCTTGGGTATCATCAGCACGACTGGAAATTTTAATAAATATATTTCTAACTCTTTTAGTGTTTAAAACAAAATATTTTAACAATCCTGTATTTAAATCTTTTCCCATTTCTACACACAATCCGAATTTGATGTACTTACGAATTGCACACACCAGCTTGACCTCCAATAATTCGAAAAAAAATGGCTTTCGAAAGAAATTTTGAAGAGGAACAGACAGATCGGGTGAAAAAGGCTGCCCTTTGCATAAAGTTAGTCCCTCTCTCTCTCTTACTCGCGGGTATTATGAATCGGCCATCTCTATCTTATGCTCAGACGATATTTTTTTGAAAATCGAACACAGGGATTCAGACTTTTTATTTATTTAAAATGAGATTTTTTTATAATTGTATAAATAAAATTCAAGCTGTGAAGCAAAGCAGCTTAATTAGACAGTGTTCTAAAATAATTGGTTTTTGATCATATAAGCAATTTTATATTTGATTGGTTACAAAGTATGACTTAGTGTTTTTGATAAATATAATTCTAAGGACAGTAATAAATTGACATATAGCAACAAAATTATAGATACTGGGTACTCGTATTGTTCTTTTAGGATTAGCACACTTTTAAATAAAATCAAAAGCATTCTACTTAGCAATAACACGTTATAACAAAGATGTAAACATTTTAAGTCAATTATACAGTGTGTGCCATAAAGCTGGATCCATAGGGGAGATTTTTAATACTACAATTGGAAAAAAACGTCGTAGGGCATTCACTGAATGGAACACACTGTATTTATATAATATGAACTAAAAGCAATTCTGATCCTTGAATAAATTCTCAGTAAAACACACGTATGTGAATCAGAAACTTACTACAAGTCAAAAATTG